CCTTGGAGTCCGAAGTCAAAGACCTTGCTCAATTCACAAAGGATATTACAGGAACCCCATACGACCCGGAAAATTGGCTTAATCGGGGTAATTGCCTCCGCCGATTAGGGTACCCGGAACTTGCTCTTGGCGATGTTCAAAAGGCCAGGCTTCTAGTCGAAGCAGCTCTAGAGAATGATTCTACCTTAGGTACTGATGCTTACAAAGCATATAGCCAGAAGATATGGCAGCTCCATCAAACTCACCCAGCATGGATGCCCAGGAAAGCACAGGTTGCCACGCCAGAATCTCTTCGAGCTTTAGTTACAATTCTACTAAAAAGACTGGAACTTCAGATTTGGTCGGAGCTAATGGAAGGATTAATGGCTTCCAATTGCTGCTCAGATTATCTTGAGGTAAGTAAAGATGCGGTAGCCAAGTTCCCAGATGATCAGATTTTCCCTTCGGAAGTAACAAATGCGGAATCATGGTTCGAGCAACGGCAAAATATCCTTCAAGGATATGTTGACGGTGAAGAAATGACAGCCGAGGCCATGAAGACTACTCTTTACAACGGAGGCGTCTACCCAACAGCATATCCATGGATGACCGAAGATGTTGTCACAAGATCCGACGAAGTAATAGAAAAGGTGGCGGCCGAATTTGCCTCTGCATCATCCAATTGTGTAGTCTCAAAGAGCACAATTAGATTGGCCATTTCGCCTGAAGAAATATCGGAGATAGATGTACTTGGCGTTGTGGCAACAAGAGATATTCTAGCAAAAGAATCAGTTCTTGTTGACCCTACGCTTGCTGCTGTAGTTGACAGTGTCGACCGCTGCCCAGCTTGTTGTGGGCCATTCTTGAATAAAATCGAAAATTCATGTTGTAAAACTTTGTACTGTAGCTCTTCCTGCTCTCAAATTGCACTGGATAGTTATCATACCATCTCTTGTGGTAAAGGTCTAGATTTCTTGCTCGGGACCGAATCAGAATCTTTGTCAAACCCCACAGAATCGTCTATAGGATCCAACTTATTTCTCCGCGTTCTCGCCCTTTCTTTAAAAGAAAATGCCGCCAGTCCCCTGAAAACTTCTCTCATATCACGCCTCACACCCGCGTACAATCCAAACAACCCTCAACTCATTGCGTTAAATTTCAAGGATCACATCATAACCCCAATCCGCATTCTTCGTGGGCTTGGTATCGATGTATTCGCGAACAGCGCATATGATACATGGGTTCTGCACACTATCTATTGTCGTTTGCAGAACAATAAACACGGGCAAACCTTCGATGATATTTGCGGAACCGCCGTAAATCCTTTATATTCGATGTTTAATCACAGCTGCGATCCCAACATTGATTGGAGACACGACGATGAAAACAGCACAGTTACTATGTTTGCTGAGAGAGATATCAGGAAAGGGGACGAGATGTTTATTTCGTATATCGGGAGAGGCAAGGGTCTTAAGGAAAGACAAGGGAAACTTATGCCTTGGTTTGGCATGGATTGTGCATGCCACAAGTGTGACGAGGAGAAATTAGAGGCGATGGCGGCAGGTATCACCATCTGAGCCGGGATTTTCTAGTAGCGAACACATTTTTAGATAGACACGAGATCAACTTCCAGGCTCAATGTTACTCATCAAAAATTACCCGCTGCTTATTGTTTTTTTCTCTGTCCATTTAAATTGGCATTGACAAGCCTAGGAAGTGATCCCTTATTATCTAAGCTTCTTGCAGACCTTTGTCTGAGCACGTTTGGTACAATAGCACAAGTGTTATGTGTCGTATAAAACTCGACAACTTTACATCACACCAGGTCCCTTCAAAATGGAGTCATCTCATACTCCCTATTCCTGGGTGAGAAACTCAGTCAAATTTATGGGTGTTGGTCCACTTTTACGATCATATGGCAAAACCTTATTACAGAACAGGAAAAGTATGATATAAAATTATCGAGCTTACACAGAAGATCTACATGATATATCATAGAGTTGAATCTGCTGATATTGGGAAAGATTAATCATACGCATGCATATAGCCGTGTCAGCGATAAGTAATGATACCAATCACGTTTGACATGTACCACCGAAGCCTCTTAATTTTGTGTAAAAAAGTGGAAGTCGTCAGTTTCCTCCCCGTTTTTCGATATAAGGATGGTGTGTCATTCGTCGCCTTGTTTCGACCAGCTAATACTTTCTCCTCCAATGATATCTAATGTTTCTTACCTATCTGAAAAATTGTGGGCCTTGTAAATCGAATTCCAATGATGCATCGTATTTCCTTGCATTGGCACTCGTCATCTTTCTGTAGTATTCAATATCATGGCTGATTATTTTACGGCATCCCAATGCAGCACCTATTACGTTGCGTTGGGTGCGTTTCTAAACTTCAGCTCGGCAGTCAGTTCAATGGAAACTTGTGTCACCCATATGTTATCTCTGTTATCTCGAGACAGTGAGATTTATTGCTTCAATCGCTCAATAGTCTTTCAAATACTGCACCTTCAACATGACGACCATTACTTATCTAGAAATTATACTTTTTCTATTCCTGTCCTTGTGGACCATCTATGGCGCTATATATCGTCTATGCTTAAGTCCCATTGCCAAGTTTCCGGGCCCAAAGCTTGCAGCTTTGACATCGTGGTATGAGATCTACTTCAACATCGTGCGTGATGGACAGTGGCTTTGGGAAATCAAACGAATGCACGAAAAGTATGGTATGTTTAATTGTCTCCTCGACGCTTCACTGTGACTGAAATTTGCAGGCCCAATCGTACGCATTAATCCTTATGAATTACACATTAATGATGTGGATTATTATGATGAGTTATACGCGGGCAATACGAGAAAACGTGAAAAGTAGGTCATGACAAAATTTAGCTTAAGTTAGGAAGTTTGGGTGCTCCGGTATCTTTATATGAAGTCCTCGAGATGAGCCATTTCAACTCATGTCATCCTAAAAGTTATTGAATTGCTGATTTCATACTACTCCCTGCTCGCATATTCTTAAAGCACCAAGAATGGCAGGAATAACAAGGTCGATGGATGTGTCTAGGACTGCACTTGTACTCTTACTTTTCACCTCACAGAATCATTAGATCGTGTAGGACTTTTGTACTAATAAACCATGACAGATATCCATGGTTTGTTAGTGCTGGTGGTTCTCCAGGAAGTTCTTTTGAAACCATAGGACATGACCTCCATCGTCTTCGAAGAAACGCTGTCAACCCTTTCTTCTCTAAGCGATCTATCGTGGCTATGGAGCCGCTTATCAAATCAAAAATCTCACTACTGTCTAATGTATTTCAGTCTCATTTCACCCAAGCAACCCCTATCAACCTTCGGGTAGTGTTCTCATCGCTTACTTTGGATGTGATTTCTGATTATTGTTACGGGGAAGCCTTCGGCGCTTTGACTGATGAGAATTTGGCTGAGATATGGAGCAACACCCTTTCTCAAGTCATGTCTATAACGACTATTGTGATGCATTTTCCTATAGTGTATAAAATTCTATCATTCCTACCTGATAGCCTAGCTGGGCCGGTGTTGGGACATCACAGAGTCAGTCTAAAATCATCCCTTTCTTGTTCACAAACCGAGACCTGACTATACATACTAGAACTCAAGAAAACAAGTGGCGCGTATTTTGAATCATGAAGATGTTGGAGGTCATCAGAATACAATATTTCATGAACTTCGCGATAGTAGTCTTCTTCCTCCAGAAGAAAAGACACTTAGGCGACTGGCTGATGATGGAAATATCATGGTTGGAGCTGGAGGCGAGACCACAGCTCAAACTTTAGCCGTATTGTTTTATCATCTCCTGGACAATCCCAAAATGCTATCGAGGGTCAAGGATGAAATTGGCACCTTGGGTGATGACATTACATGGGGGAGATTGGAAACCCTACCATTCCTGGTGAGCCAACTCGAGACATTGAAATTTCAAATCGCTACTAACGGACGCTCTCATAGTCGGCGGCCGTAACCGAAGCATTACGTCTCTCAAGCATGGTAACCTCGCGTCTTCCTAGAATCGCACCCAATGAAGACATGAAGTTCCAGAAATGGACAATTCCTGCTGGTGTATGTATAACCCTTTTTCATGGCCCGTTAGTATACGTCTGAGGACCTGTTTACCACCCTCCCCCCCTTGACCACGCTTGCCATTTTGACGGAATCTAGACACCAACAAGCATGTCTTATTATTTGATCCACTACTCCTCCGAAATTTTCCCCTCTCCTAATGAATTCAACCCGAGCCGCTGGCTTGCGGAATCAGTCTCAAAAGATTCGACCACTGGAGATGCAGTGCGCAAACATAGGTTGGACAAGTATTTTGTCCCATTTTGCAAGGGGACCAGAATATGTCTTGGCATGAAGTATGAAATTCACCATGTTCCTACCTCTCTAGTGTTCTGACTAACAGAATAAACTCAAAAACAGCCTAGCGTATGCAGAATTGTTTCTCACAACAGCGTATATACTCAAACGTTTTGATCTTGAGCTTTATGGAACTACAAAGAGAGATGTGGAAATCAAGAGAGATCATTTTGTTGCAGCGCCAGCGGCAGGAAGTAAAGGTATTAGGGTTATAGTCACGCATGATAATGGGGAGTAAGGAAGTGATTGGGTGCGGTATTTCGACGTAGTTACTTATGCACCTTAAAGTCTTATCGGAATTTGAATTATATTGAGGAGCTTGCGCTACCTGCCTTTCCGCTCGTTGTAACAGTGTGAAAAGTTTTTGTTCCATAAACTACGCGATAGCTTGTTAGTAGAAGACCATCAAACGATTTTAGGTTACAGGGCCTACCAGGTAGTTCCGTCTCGATTGCTAGATGGGTAAAAATCTTATCTTGTACGGTGAGGAAGCTTGAAATCGGTTCCGTTGGTACCACTGTTCCATCCGTTTTCTTAACAGTTCATCGTGGATTGGCTTTCAAACAATCCACTACGTCGTAAATATCAGAGGTGCCCACTGCTTTGACAGCGTATACCGATGTGAACTCATTGTGTTAAGTCAACCCTGGAGGGGTTTCTCAATCGGCAACAGGAAGGGGGCAACACATAAAAGGAATCTACGGGAGTGCTACCTTCAGTATACAACCTGACGGTGGACCTCTCACCAAGTGCCGAAGATATAGCCTGAATAGCCACCGACCCTTCTATATTCTCATCTCTCCTCTTGGAGCCGCTGAAGACTCCCTCGGAATTGTACAATGCATTCATATTTGCAGTGAAATTAGCAAGAAGCTCGGTTGCGTTTGTAATGATCGTATCGGGAACTGAAGCATGTGAATATCCAAAGGTACTAGTGTAGCGAGCAGCATCCGATGTCCAGGGCATCTCCCTATCAGATTGGTGGAAGGGGGTCAAAGGTGACGCAGAAGTATTGCTACCACCCAGAGCGATTGTAGAAGTCCAGATCAAGTCAGACTCTGGAAGTATCCAAACGTTGGGATAGATCGCTTGACAGATGATAAATTGACGATCCACATTGGCGTGGTGAAGCCATAACATTAGATCAAATGCATAGTGACTCAGCTGACTCATATGACCGTATGGGTCTCCAATAGCAACGTGTACAGCGCCATGAGAAATTTTGAGAGATGAATCAGGAGAGACTTCGATGGCCATGTTGTAAAATGATGTTGCTTTGGAGGACATGGAATAGATCATACTCATCAAACCTTTGGTGCCCATGTCTTCATTTACTATATCTGGCTGAGATGTCCCCAGAATCGTTGCATTGAGGAATCTCAAAGTAGTTGAATCTTGAGCCAAGTCTTCATTCGCATTGTTGGTACCCATAGTAGGATGTCAGTTTGCGTTCAATGGAAACTGCCAAAATCTGTAAAATATAAGAGGTTTTGCAATACTCTGAGTGGCAGAGGGTGTGTCGATCTGGACTGTGGCATCACTAACAACTGGAGGGAGAGCTGGAACGGCAACCAAGTCTCAATACGGGATACGGAAATTTGCAGCCACGTCGGTGTGACTGGCCTGTGGCGGCATTTGTCTGTGCGTGACTAGCTAGAACCTGATTATATGAGGCCAAATATGGACGATGCTAGGTGGGAAGTAATACATCGTCATGAGCACAATGCCCATTTGCGGAGGCGCTGGATTCCAGCTCACACTCTCCCATGAACAGTATGGACGAATGTGAATACCAGCCATCTGAAACCAGGATAATAAGTCGTCTTTTGAGACTTGCTGTAAAGAAATAAGTGCTTAGATGTACAGAGACCTGAGATATATTAGTCACCAAGTCAAGAAGCGGCCTTTGACGTTGCTATTTTTATGACCAAAGTCGGGAACCAGACTTATTCGGATCCTTCGATGCAATTTTGCAATTCAGAAAATCATTAAGAAGACCAGGGCTTTGGCAAGCTATTCAAACACTCGAGTCATGTGTGGATATTCAAATGTCAACTAGGAATTGCCATTCCATCCCCCTTTAATTGCTTGGATCTGCGGTGATTGGGATTGATTTCCTTGATCGAAACTATGCCAAATGTAAAGATTCAAGTATACCAAGCTGGGAAGTTATTTTGGAGGTCAAATATATCTCTTCACACAGGTGTGGCTCAAGTCTGTGCATCAATGTTAGTTTAACACCAAGGAACATAAAGAGTTCAGGTAAGGGATCCTGTATATGTAGTTTATAAGCAATAAAATATTATAAATCACTGGCTAGAACCAAATTGGGACCAAGAAGGACCCTGTCACGATAACAGTTTGTTTGACGGCGAATAGAATAGATTCAGCATAGAATGAAGAGCTGAACATGAAGAATAATATCCTTGTATACAAAAGGATGCATAAAAGGCTACCTAAATATGTGCCATGCATATACATGCTAGGATTGTAACAATTGCTCTTCGCAGAAAGTCCTGTTATGTTTATCTGAGAAGCCACTGTCGGGTACCTAAACTAGAGAAGACCTCCGAGTTGAGAGAACACTAGGACAAAAATGAAGATATCTTTTGGAGACTATCATGAAAATTTGTCCACCTTATGGCCGTTCGTTGGTGTCTACCTTCATTTATGTGAAGGTGGGGTGTTATTTGATTCTGGTTAGGCAGATTCCTAAAGTGGTGAAAACAGGCTGACGGTATCGGAAAGCTTGCTTCTCCAAGAATAACGGCGCGGAAACACGAGTATTGGAGCATGATACATGCATATTGGGAGGCTATAGCGGCGACCAGGCAACTAGCTGGGTCGTCAACCACCATGAGATGAAATATAGAAATTTTCAACGATCATATTTCACTTATCGAGTTATTGAAGAACATACTATAAACCGCCCGACAAGATCTGGACAGAGCGGTGCTTGGGTCCAAATTGTCCCCCTCTAGTCATGACGTTTATTGCCGATCAATACGAGCTTTTACACACGTGTCAATGAAAGCGACTAGGCCCAAGCGAAGACTCGCTAAGTTTAGCCATGCCTTGCCTTTGATTGCCCTATTCCTGACTATACGAGATGAGAATTGGAGCTGACTTTAGTCAGCAATCTGTCCCGCCGCTATGCCACGAATTTACTCTCTAGATTTGGCTTCGTACGATACTATTGATACCGCTGATTTGATGTACTTTTCCACATTCTGCCTTCCCCATAAGTAGGGAAGCCTGAATTCGATGGAATACGAAAAACTGCTCACTAGTAGAAGTGTGGATGTTCATTAATGATTATTGATGAAATGAGCTCTACGGCGGGAACCAGCTTCCGCGTCCAGAGCGATCTTGAATGAGCCCGAATCCGAAAATTGAAAAGCTTCACTTGTCAGGTACAGCCGCCTGGATCATCAATATGAGGTGCGTAGTATGATAATGGTCACATTGAGTGAAATTCGATATGTAACAGGTTCATTCTAGCCCCCAATTGAAGGAACTGTTACAGGGCCGCACCTTTGAGTCCAGTGATGGTCTCCTCATTGGGTACTTTGTACCATGAAATAGGCTCCGACAAATGTTTCAACTATATCATCATTCTTGGCGGCAGAATAAATTCGAGAAAATACTGTGACCATGAACGATGAGAGATTTGAGTAAGTAAATCTAAAGTATCGGTGAATTGATGTATATTTTCTTATGAATTGTAGTTGTTCTCGATATATATAAAAAGATGCTCTCATCGTGTCGAGCTCTTGACGCTCACATCCTCTATGCTTATCTTCATCTCGTAATCCAGTGATGGTCCTTGTGCTCTTGATATCATAGAGCTTCAGGATCTTCTGGGCAGCAACTCTACGTTCGCTCCGTAGCCATGGTCAAATCCCATTTATTGTGTAGAAAACCTTGTAGGTACAGGTAGAGTAGACGCGGAGCATGTAAAAATGTGAAATGTTACCACAAGCATAAAAGAAATGTTTGAGTATGAAGCACACTGGTGCTGAATTCTTGCAGGTAGGAATGATGGCATATACTTGGATCTACTGACAACAAAGCATAGAAAGTATTGACCGCATTCCATACCTGTATCTGATTGATTGATTGATTTCATTTACGTCCACATTCAGTCTAAGACTATATAGGACGGCTAAGCCTTTAGAGACTCTAACAAGTAACTTTTTATTCTATAAAAATGAATATATTCGATTTAGGAAAGTGAAAACAAATATTAGGGATCAATACCCGCTTATTATACATATTACATATAATAAGAAAAGGGAAATATAATACTCAAGAAATTAGCAAGAGACTCCTCCCTTCTTCTTCTTCTTCTTCAATTACTATTTTTTCCATTTCTATAATAATTCTTTCTTCTTTTATTATTACATCTTCTTCTTTTTCTACTACCTCTCTTTCTTCTATTTCGTTTTATATCAGAACTCTAGCTAAATGCTATACTCTTATAGCTATTTTAATAATATTAATAAATTTGATAGCTAACTCGATATTAATTTTAATATGAAATAAGAATTATATAGTGATTTTGAATAAAGATATCTCCTTAAAGATTTCTTTTCTTTTAGTTTTATATATAGGGCAATTAATAAAAAGGTATTATAATACCTCGATATTATTATATATATATTTGTTATTGGAAGGTTTGAAGTAATGTAAATAGGATTTGATATATTTGTAATCTAATTTGAGTTGAAAGAATATACTTGTTACGGGTTCACTAGCGTAGTATATTAGCGTAGTGGATGCTTAGTCATCTTTGCCATTATATGGCAAAGTTACATCGTACCACTTTCAACCTCTTTGTAGAATATCATATATTCAATCTAGTACCTATCCCTTACACTATAATAATATATTCTATCTTCTTAAAGATCCTGTTACTATATATTAATAATAATCCAATCTTAACAATAATACTCTAATAAAAACTTCGTTTTCGCTTTTATTTTCGTTTTTATCTTTATTTTTATTCTTATCTTTATCTTTATTCTTATCTTCATTTTCATCTTTAAAATAATGGATATATCTAATTTGTTATCTATAGAAAATAGAGTTCAAATATCCAATAATCTTAAAACAAGTATTCAAACTATCTTTGCTGAATAATAATAGCTTGCAAATAAACTTTCAAGTATTTTTAACCCCAATCTTTGAAATCTAGTGTTCAGTTTTTCTAAGAACAAATAATCATATTTATATTATTTATATAGTATTATTAATAATTTATTAGAGTTACTTTATAACATACAGATTAGGATAGATACAAATCTGAATAACAAACGCACAGCTCTGATTGACATACAAATCCATTTACAAATCCAGATATAATTGAATATAATATTACAAAACCAGCTTTTCCAATTACTACAAAACATATCAGCCCAAACCTTTAATTCATTTACTAATACTTAACAACAAATCTTCAAAAATCTGGAAACCTTTAAAAAAAAGAAGATTGATATAATAATATAATAGAATAAATATCTAACTTAGAAATAAGGATTACAAATCTATTGAATATCTAATACTATTATATTTGATATTGAAAAGAAGAAACTTTTACATATAGTTTCCCTTATTAGAGGATATATATATCAAAAATAATTAAAAGATATTGACAATATTTTACAAAATAACTCGATCTATATAACTGCTGATTTGTTTTTTAAAAAGCTTAATAGCCTTTATATTACAATCGACTCCAAACAGGAAACAGCAATTCAGTTTGATAAACTCAAGATATTAAAGAAATAGGCCTTTGTAATATTCTATATATAATTAGAATACTTAGATAATTAATATTATAAGTCTAATCGAGAAATAATTTTTGTTTTAAAGCAAAAAATCTTTGAAGAATTAAAACTCATAATTCATATAGATTCAAGCCCCTGTGTATTAGATAACATTAAAGAGTGAAAAAAGAAATTCACAATTTGGAGCCAGAATTGCTGGGAGAATGATTATTATAATATAGATTTATCAAAAAACAATCACAATCAATCTCGATTCAATACAACCTCTCCTATACTTATTATTGCTTTATATAGTAACCCTATAAAGCTCGATATAGTCAAATTCCAAAATAAGGTATAATAATATAAGGAGAAGTGCTATCTCGATCTTTGCTATTACTATAAGAAACCAGATCACTCTGTTTGGAATTGCGATATGAAAAAACAAGTTGATATACAATAAGTGGCTAGAGGATACAATACAGAACCTCTAAGAGGGATGTCAGGATATAGTTGTAGTAATATTGGAAGAGGAAACTAACAATTCAGTTAAAATGGATAATATCAAAGTAATAGTAATTACAATCAGAATGACTTTTGGAAATATAGCTATTAATAATAGCTCTACACATAACAATAGTTTAATATAGTTCATAGCTATAT